GTTCCCTCCCCCCTCCCCCTTTTCCCTTTGTAATCATTATTTCCTCTGGCAATGTTTCTAACTGCAGGTTTAGATTTGTTTGGCTTCGTATTTATTCAGAAAGAGTATCAGTGACCTTTATAGAGGAAGGAGGTTGTCAGCCGACTGGTTTCTCAAAGGCAAGGCATGATGTGAGATGAAAATGCAATTTGTGTGTGATTGTTTTTCTTCTTTGCAAAGAAAGTCCTGCTAAACATTCACCTCTGCCATGGACTTCTTGGGTGGCCTCAGATAAATTACTGTCCTTTAGTTTCCCATCTGCATACCTGCAGTGACCAAGGCAAATTCATTTCAGACCTTATATTTTGTTCATGTTGCGTCAGACCACTGGCCTGTTGAGTATTGTGTACAGCAGGTATTGGGAACCTGTGGCCCTCCTGTTGTTGCAGAACTACAACTCCCATCACCCCTGGCCTTGCTTGCTGGGCTGGTGGAAGTTCAACAACATGTTGTTGTTTAGTCGTTTAGTCGTGTCCGACTCTTCGTGACCCCATGGACCAGAGCACGCCAGGCACCTCTGTCCTCCACTACCTCCCACAGTTTGGTCAAACTCATGCTGGTAACCTCGAAAACACTATCCAACCATCTCGTCCTCTGTCGCCCCCTTCTCCTTGTGCCCTCCATCTTTCCCAGCATCAGTGTCTTCTCCAGGGAGTCTTCTCTTCTCATGAGGTGGCCAAAGTACTGGAGCCTCAGCTTCACGATCTGTCCTTCCAGTGAGCACTCAGGGCTGATTTCCTTAAGAATGGATGTGTTTGATCTTCTTGCAGTCCATGGGACTCTCAAGAGTCTCCTCCAGCACCATAATTCAAAAGAATAAATTCTTCGGCGATCAGCCTTCTTTATGGTTCAGCTCTCACTTCCATACATCACTACTGGGAAAACCATAGCTTTAACTATACGAACCTTTGTTGGCAAGGTGACATCTCAACAACATATGGAGGGCCAAAAGTCATTGCTGGCCCATTCACAAGGCAAGGTGAGGTGCCACCTGCTTGGCAGCCCCCCTCCCCCCATGCCATCCCTACAGTGGCCTCTTGATGAAAAGGAGGCTCCCACCCCTAGGGAAGAAGTGGCCTGCCTCTGGGTTTTCATGGGCTCTGGACCTGCCTGACATGATTCAGAGTGGGCCCCTCCCCTCCACAACAGCCTTTGAGTCCCACTTCAACCACTGAGTGAGTTTGATTTGATTCTCCCCCTCGTTCCCGATGTAGATCTTCACTCACCCCTTTTTCCCTGGTGGTGGTGGCACCATTTTGTGGTTCACCGCAGGTGCCAAAGTTTATTGGACTGGCCCTGCCAAAGTTTCTGCATACCTGGTGTATTAGTGACCAGCAGTGGCTCTCCAGGATGTCAGACTGGGTCTCTCCCAGCCCTGCCTGATGATGCCATGGGTTGAACTTGGGGTTTTTGGAGGTGCCAGGATTGAACATGAGAGCTTCTGCATGCAAAGCAGATGCTCTACCACTGAGGTACAGGGAGGGGGAATACCCCACAGGCAGTAATTGCGCACATGGAACATACTGCTTTTATATTTTGATTTTGTTCTGTGAGCTGCCCTGAGTATAGGGTGGTATATAAATTCAATAAATAATAATAATAATCAAATGATTTCACCTGGATCCCTCCCCCTACCTGGATCTAGATCTATTTGCATTGGATTTTATACACATTTGCCCTACTTTAATGTTGTGGAGATGTAGGGGAGGGAACTTCATTTTCCTTGATAGGAAACAAACAATAAAATTTCTCTTCTAAAATCAAGTAATGCTTGAAATGCTGGAGGTAAGCCTCCTAATACAACAGAGCTCTTCTTTAAAAATGGAATTGTCTAGAAAGCAAAAACTTTTTGAAGACACTAGCAACCATAGATTATGAAAAAAAACTGGAACTGCAGGAAAGGAAGGAAGGCCACTTTCATGCTGTTACTATTTTGTGGGTGCTATTGTATCATATAACACCCACTTCAGATGGCGCAATTAAAGTGGATTTAACATGTACAACAAGATGATTTTAAACACCAGGAGGGTGTTTCCCCTCTTCATCTATTGTCCTATACCTCACTTTCCACTTGGTTTTCCATGAAGCCATTCCCGGTGACTTTTTGTTATTTTTTCAGTACGTTTACTGCATGTACTTGGATTAGTGTAGTTGTCCTCAAGTTTAGATAATAGAAGGTATTTAGGCCCAGGCTATCTGAAAGCCCATATTCTTCCATACAAACTTGGCCGGGCTCTGAGATCTTCTGGGGAGGCCCTTCTCTCAGTCCTGCCACCTTCACAGACATGCTTGGTGGAGAAGCAGGAGAGGGCCTTCTCAGTGGATGCTCCCAGACTTTGGAACGCCCTTGCTAGTGAGGCTAAACTGGCTCTCTTCTTGTTATCTTTTCACTGGCAGGTGAATACTGTTTTATTCTGGCAGGCCTTTGGGAACTGACTGTGCTGTTTTTATTATCTATATTTTAATAGATTTTTAACATATTTTAAATTCTATTAGAATTTAATTGCTTTTTAACTATTATCTTTTACCTATTACTAGCTTTCTGTATTTTATCTGTGTTGATTACATTTGTGTAATGTAATTGTGAAGGGAGTAGGGTACTTGAAAGAGAGAGGAGCGTTTTTCTTTTTTCCTCTCTCAAATACACTATCAGGCTTTGGCAGAAGTGCAGGTAAGGTTCACAGCAGGAGAAGCTGCCGAGTGGCACAGCTTGGTGCAGCTGGCACAAGCAGCTTTGTTTTGGCCCAGGGCTGCTCTGGGAAGAGAGACTGAGCCCGTACCCTTGGAATCTACCCTCGCTCTCCAAGATTCTCAGCCACTTGGCTCCAAGTGGCAGCTCGCACGCAGGCATCCAACTCCCCAAGCCGAGGTTTGTGTAAAAAGAGGCATGTTTGCGATTTGGCAACTTATTCCTCCCCTGCACCACCCGCGCCATGACAGAAGGCTCCTCGTTGACCCGTTTCTTAAGCATTCGTCCCGATTCATTGTGCACGAAGCAAAGGAGCATAAGTTGGCATGTGTGGTTCTCTGCCCCCCCTCCTAAGAACATAAGAAGAGCCTGCTGGATTAGGCCCATGGCCCATCTCGTCCAGCATCCTGTTCCCAGATGCCTGTGGGAAATTTGCAAGCAGGACCCAAGCACAAGAGCACCCTCCCCTCCTGTGGTTTCCAGCAACTGGTATTCAGGAGCATTGCTGCCTCCAGTTTTGGGGGTAGAAGATAGCCTTTGTGGGTAGCAGCTCTCTCCTCCATGAATTAGTTCAGTCCTCTTTTACTGCCACCCAAGTTGGTGGCCATCACTGCTACCTGTGGGAGTGAGTTCCATAGTTTAACTAGGCACTGTGTGAAGAAGAACTTTATTTTATCCTGTGGGAGTCAGTCCATTTATCCACTGCAGTTGGTGGGGGGGGGGTCTGTTGGATGATGGAGGGGCCTAATCAACATTGCATCTCCTATCCCACCCCAAAATCTGGTGTTTGGCCTGAGTGTTCCTCTTGAATGAGCAATATATGGGCAAACATACAGGTTCTCTCATCTACCTTAGTTTCTCTCCCTGTGGCCTGTTGGTTTTTGAAAAGATCAAACCTGAAATTGTTTTGTTTATGAATATTGTGTCAGTGTGACTTGAGGGCGTTTTATATTTGTTCAGAAAAACAGACTGAGCACAAACTGGCTCCCCCCCCCCCATTAAAGGTCAAGAGAGAGAGAATTTGGTTTGTGTGTGCTAAAGCAGCAGAAAGATTTCCAGTTGGCAGTTCAGCCTGATTTGTAATAAAACATTTCTTGGGGAGAAAGCCATCCGCTTGACAGATGGCTCAGTCGGGACCAGCAAGCGGGCGAAAGAGACTGTATTTTCTCAAAAGTGTTGGGCTGCAGATAGCATGATTGTTTCCAACCATTTGTTGGGATGGATTTAAATATACTACGCAGCAGACAGCGCTTATAACAGCAACGGATCCAACCTGCCTTACTTGATCTTTTCCTGAGAGAGAACACAGTTTTCTGGAGAGCAGGGCCTTCTCTACCATTTGGCTAAGGGCACCTCCATAAGAACATAAGAAGGGCCTTCTGGATCAGGCCAGTGGCCCATCTCGTCCAGCATCCTGTTCTCACAGTGGCCAACCAGCTGCCTGAAAAGGAAGCCCACAAGCAGAATTTGAGTGCAAGAGCACTTTGCCCTCCTATGGTTTTCAGCAACCGGAATTCAGAAGCATTGCTGCCTCCAGCTACTCCTGCCATTTGGGAGCAGCAGAGAGCAAATATTTGCCCTCCTCTGCGTATCAGCCCTTCCAGTAATTGAAGACTGTTGCCATGCCCACCGCCCAGTCTTACTCAAATATAAGCTAGTTTACAAGAGGCTTTTAAATATACAACTATGGGTGATATGAGGATACAGCACAGCATCCTCAGAGACATATGCCCTGAGTTCCTGCAGAAGGATGGGATGCTTTGATTAGCAAGCACAGCCGTGATGAACTGGTGTTCTACTGGAATTTCCTGCAGCAAAGGTACACAGCATGCATATCACCAATAGTGTAGTGGAAAATTCAGAAGTGTAGCATCCCTTCATGATAGTCACAGCCATGCTCCTAAGATTATACAACCTTCTAAGATTATACAGAATTCTTATAATTAGGGGTGCATTGCAACAATCAATTCAAATCTCCATGTGTTGCCTCCCAGCTGGATCTACTATTTTCTCTGCACATACATGGGGAAATGTATTGGGATGTTCCAGTATCTTTCAGAGTGACTTCAGTAAGGTTTCCCTTAAAGTTCCATTGTACATCATCATCATCATCATCATATCTTTTATAGTGATTTTATGTTGTGACCTGCCTGAATTGTACAATTATAGGGTGGGATACCAATTTAATTAAGTTAATAATATTATTAATACAACAACAACAACAACAACAACAATAATTTAAAAGGCCATAGACTATTAATCAGCCAAAAGCTGAGTTGAAAACGAACGTTTTATTATACATCCGAAAGATACATCCTAAAGATGCTGGACAACCTCCCTGAGGAGAGCGTTCAACAAACGGATTGTCTTGAAAGTGAAGCACCTGGTTTTCCCAGTGTTCCTAAATCTTAGCTTTGGAGTGTACAGAACAACTCCTTGGTGTTCTTTACATGCGCCGTCTCCAGAGTGACTTGAGGAGCTGGTTCTCCATTGCTGACTCCAACCAGCACAAAGGGTGATAATACTTCTCAGTGTCTTAAAGGCTCCCCTTTCATCCTGATTGGGTGGTTCTAGGACGCTGGAGACAGGGACCCTGGGGCAGAAATGGTAGATCTTTCGCACACTCACCCATGGGTGTAGCCAATGGGGGGCGGGGGACAGCTTCCTCCAGTCAAGTAAATAAAATACTTAACTAACTGACCAATCATGTCACAGACAACTCAGTTCTGACTCCCCCCCCCCCATTGGTCCTGCTCACCTAATATAAATCCTGGCTACACCCATGATACACACCCCAAAAATCCAGACCACCACACCCCTGGACATAACACAGGAGTGCATGCACATCTCTGAATGTACAGGTAGAGCACACAGATTCTTGCCTGGGATCTCTGGCCCAGCCAAGATGAATGAACATCACTGTACGCCTCTTTGTAATAGCCACATGTAACAGTGTAACACTGGTGTTTTCATGCAAGTAAACGTAACGTGGAGGTGCTCCTAGAAAGAAAGCAGATGGGGGGGGGTTATTATTATCCTCCTCACTTGATGAAGTCCCATCTCGTTTGGCCCTTGCTCCTTCAGCCACCACACCCTGGGGTGTGTATTTTTGGATGCTAGCTTGCATGCCTTCCCCAGCCAGCTGTTGCCTGAACATTCCTGTGGACAGCAGTATTTCCAGCAGGAAAATATTAGAGTGGATGAGGTTTACCAGAGAGCTGCAAGCATCCAGGCTGGTGCTGAGCTCAAGTTAACTCCAGGGTGAGGAAAACACACTGTGCCAAAATCAAGGATAGAAGTACCTGACAGTTTCAAAACTTCCATTTCTCTTTTCCTGGCCCCAGTCTTACGTTCAGTTTCCCATATTTGCAGCAATTTGCAAGTTCTTATATTTTAAAAAAATACCGTATTTTTCGCTCTATAACACGCACTCGACCATAACACGCACGTAGTTTTTAGAGGAGGAAAATCCATAGGCATGCCACCCATAGGCATTCCCTCCATAACACGCACAGACATTTCCCCTTACTTTTTAGGAGGAAAAAAGTGAGTGTTATGGTGCAAAAAATACGGTATATCCCCATGAAAAATTAATCACATTTTTTTCTTGTATGCAGTGTTGACCAGCACAGAAACATTTTTGCAAGAAAAATTCCCTCATTTTTCTATGCTATTTTCACAAATATATGCTCCCTTTATGCACACCTCCCCCAACAAATGTATTTTTGTAAACTCTGTTTAGAGAACCACACTGCGAAATTTGGAGAAGTGCGAATTTTGAAGAACGGCTATTTCAGTTCTCATATTGTTTCAGAAAGTGCAGATTTGATAGACACACCTTTAAACGTGAAGTGAATTGAATTTCTCCTGCATCTGTAACCAAAAAGCGCTGTTGTTGTTTCAATGCAAAGCAGATTGGCTGCTGGAGAAAGAATGATGAGAGTTCAGCTTGTTTCCCCCCTCTCTTTTTCAAATGCAGGGGATCTTTTTGTAGGGGTTTATTTATTTATTATTTTTTTCCAATGAAATAATCAGTTGCCAGTTCCTGCTGATGCTGCCAATCCTCGCAAAAAGCCAGGGGGGCAGGCAATAACAGGCAAGCATTGGAGAAGGCAAGAGTCCCATGTGCAGATTGATCAGGGGAGCTGCCAGTCTCTACGGCCACCAGTCCTTGTGCGAAGTGGGGAGTCGTGGGAGAGAGAAGCAGGACCAATTTCAGATGTGCTTCAAATGGTCCTACAATTAAGCCATTAAGCCTGGTGTATATTCTGCCCTCCACTGACTTAAGGGACTTTATTCGGTTGCAACACAATTGGTTGGTTGCAGCTCTTTATAGATTTTCATCCCCCTTCCTCAACACAAAGTAATAGAACAGTAAGCTGTGCCAGGGTATTGTGAGGGATAGAAGTTCTCAAATTAGGCACAGGTGCATATTGAGAAATCATGTAGCTGTAGAGCTGTAAGGGACCCTGAGGGTTATCTAGTTTAACCCCCTGTAATGCAGAAATCACAGGTAACGAATTCCTCACGGATGGTCACCCAACCTCTGTTTAATAGCTTTCAATGAAGGAAAGTCCATTACCTTCCAAGGCAGCTTGCTCCACTGTCAAACAGATCTTACTGCCACAAAGTTCTTCCTAATATTTGGTTGGAATCTCCTTGTCATTTGAGTCCATTGGTTCAGGTCCTGTCCCCTGAAGCCGCAGAAAACAAGCTTTCTCCATCTTCCCTGCAACAGATATTTGAAGCTGGCTTATCATATCACCTCTCAGTCTTCTCTTCTCCAGGCTAAACCTACCCAACTCCCTCAATCATTCCTCATAAGCCTTAGTTTCCAGACAGACACTTGAATCATCTTGAGCACCCTCCTCTGCACACCTTCCAGCTTCTTTAAATGGTGCTGCCTAGAAATAGCTCCCTCCAATGATGACCACTGCTGAATCAGATAATGAAAGATGGGTTGGGTTGGGGGAGGCTGCCCAACTGGTTCTGCAGGCTTGAACTCACTCCCACTGATCGTAGTAATGATAGCACACAGTTTGTTCACATAGAAGTGGGGGGGATTCATCTTGCATTGTGATGCAAATCTATTTAATTTACACTTCTCAAAGAAAATGCGAAGTGAAACATGCTGCCCTTCAGAATCCTCACTTTTCTGAATTTTGCAACGCAGTTCGCCAACCTAATGATGTTTGCTAAAAGGCGTGTATTAGAGGAAAGCATGTGTTTATGTGCAAACCTTTGTGTGCGAACTGGTCCTTTACCTCTGATGCTGTGTACAAACCAGTAGAGCATCAAATTCGAGGACTAATAACGGAATATCCATTTCCTTTACGTCCTGGTTGTGACCTTCTAGATGGCACCTGGCAGGCTGCCAAATGTCCTGGATGAAATGGACATTTATCTTAGCCAGCAAAACAATCTGCAACATTCTTTACAGCACGCTGGTCTCCTGCCGGTTTTTGTTCGTCTCTGGCTCTCGGAGAATCCCTGAGGAGCCACTCAATTCATTTAAGGAAAGCTGTTGATAATAAGCTGAATTGGGTTTTAATGGGGGTTCGTGCCGTTAGAAGCGAAATCAAATCAGAGTCTAATAGTCACGCACGAGCAGCAGAGACAAGGAACAGCCGAGGGGTAGGGTGTGTATGTGTGTTGAGAGGGGTCAAGAACGTTCACTGTGCAGCCAGCCACCATTAAGTCTTTCTTTATAATGCATGAGGCTGAGGAGCCCAAAGGACTGCTGAGCAAATGGGGAAGAATCCTCCAAACTGCCCTTTGGAACGAAGGCAGGCCAGCTGTCTCAGGAGGAGCTGTTCTGGAGAGCACACTCGGTAACTGATGGCTTGCCTTGGCACCGGGAGTGATGGATCTCTGTTTCACTCTGCACCAAAAAGATACCGCCATCCTCTCTGCTACGCTCTGCTGCACGCCTGCTATTTAAGGATAACTCGTGAAGGGGGGGGAGAGAATTTTTCTAGCTCTTGAATACACCCCACAGCAAGGGGGGGAGCACCCCCAAACAGCCATATCTCCAAGAAGGGCTGGGGGATTGCAGACAGCAGCCCCCATGTCTGAAGCATATCCAGAAAAGAATTCAATACAGTGGTACCTCAGGTTACAGATGCTTCAGGTTACAGATGCTTCAGGTTACAGACTCCGCTAACCCAGAAATAGTACCTCGGGTTAAGAACTTTGCTTCAGGATGAGAACAGAAATCGTGGCACGGCGGCAGCGGGAGCCCCCATTAGCTAAAGTGGGTACCTCAGGTTAAGAACAGTTTCAGGTTATGAACGGACTTCCAGAACGAATTAATTTCTTAACCCGAGGTACCACTTTATTTGGACCGATTTAAACTGAGCAAAAGAAAAAGAAGCATTTTTGGAATTTTGGACCTGATGGTTTTCTAAGTAAAAAAGAAAAGAAAAGAAAAAGAATTTGAGAGATATTTTATTATCACTATCGTGGTTTATTTGTATGCCTCCTTTCCATAGCTGAACTTGCAACACGAAAAAAACGTACATAATTACAAAAATATAACGAGTCTCATAAGCAATAAATAACATTTTCTCAATGAGTATACTATAAAATTAAATGCTGCGATTCACCTGCTCTGTCTTGACCTCTCACTTTGCTTACGTACCATACCAATTTCAGCATTAGAGTTTTGGGCGGATGCCATCATTGAGTTTGAGTCCTTAAACTGGCAGGAGCCAGAGCACTTCCTACTCTTACGGAGTCTTTCCTACATTGACTCGTTTGTGCATTGCAGAGACTCCTGGGGGATGCTCATTGGTACACAATCAGGTTGCAATTCAAAACATATTTAACCAGGAAGCAGGTCAGTTGAGCTCACTACTGCCCATGTCAGCACTTGGGCCTCCCTGCTTCCCTGAATGAACATATCCTCTCATCTCTTGAACATACAAAGTTGCCTTACCCTGGATCGTACTGGTGGTTCATTTGGCCCAGTCAGTGATGCGGGATGAAAATTTCCCACTGCTCCATTTTTCTGCGGGAAATGTTCCGTTCCATAAATTCATTAGTAACAATGAGTGGATGCCAATTGCGAGTACAATACGAGGCAAGCGTGAAGTTTTTAGCCTTGCTAAATGCCAAGTAAATAAAGTTTACTAAATGCAAGTAAATAAATATGCTATATTAGATCACCCTCTGGGGCACCCGAAAATGTTCCAATGCAGTTTTTCAGATGCAAATTAGCCTATGCAGATTACAGTAATTTGCAAGGCACCGTATTTTTCGCTCTATAACACGCACCTGACCATAACACGCACATCGTTTTTAGAGGAGGAAAACAAGGGAAAAAACATTCTGAATGAAACAGTGGATGTATCATTTTTGTGCTTCATGCTGTGGCCACAGACATGTGATCTGATGGTGAATTTGGGGTGACCCAATGCAAAAATCCTGAGAATTCCTGTGGATCCATGCTTTGTAACCACGTTTTTGCACCATTGCAGCCCCAGGCAACAGTGGGTGCATGATTTTTTGGGTGCAGGCTGTAGCCATGGACATGCTATGTGATCTGATGGTGAATTTGGGGTGACCCAATGCAAAGATCCTGAGAATCCCTGTGGATCCATGCTTTGTAACCACATTTTTGCACCATTGCAGCCCCAGTCAACAGTGGGTGCGTGCTTTTTTTGGTGCAGGCTGTAGCCATGGACATGCTATGTGATCTGATGGTGAATTTGGGGTGACCCAATGCAAAGATCCTGAGGATCCATGTGGATCCATGCTTTTTAACCAGGTTTTTGCACCATTGCAGCCCCAGGCAACAGTGGGTGCGTGATTTTTTTGGTGCAGGCTGTAGCCATGGACATGCTATGTGATCTGATGGTGAATTTGGGGTGACCCAATGCAAAGATCCTGAGGATCCATGTGGATCCATGCTTTTTAACCACGTTTTGCACCATTGCAGCCCCAGGCAACAATGGGTGCATGATTTTGGGGGGGCAGGCTGTAGCCATGGACATGCTATGTGATCTGATGGTGAATTTGGGGTGACCCAATGCAAAGATCCTGAGGATCCATGTTGATCTATGCTTTGTAACCACATTTTAAGTGGGGAGCGAAGGAAAAACAAGGGACATGAGAGGGGTGTGCAGAGAAGCAGCTGGCTAAGAATGCTGGAGAGGGATTTAACGGGTGGGAGGAAAGAAAGGCAAAAGTTCCCCCCCAAGCCAGCCATCTCTCTCTCTCTCTCTTCCTCCCTCCCTCCCTCCCTCCCTCTCTCTCCCTCCCCCCTCTCTCTCCCTCTCCCTCCCCCCCTCTCCCTCTCCCTCCCCCACTCTCTCTCCCTCTCCCCCAGCAGCACCGGAGCACAGAGAGGAATTAGAAAGAACGACACTCTGCTTGCCTGGAGGGGAGGGGCTTTCCCTGCTCTTTGTTCCGTTTCAGCAATCACAGCAACGAAACAGAGAAGGGTGGGCAGTAAGACCCTGAGGCAGAATGCAGGAAAGCAGCCGCTTCCTCTTTTCAGGTTTCCCTTCTCCGTGACTCGCGATTTGACTTTTGCTTGATTTTTTGGCTCCAGGGACCACACATTCCCTCTATAACACGCACAGACATTTCCCCTTCCTTTTTAGGAGAAAAAATCTGCGTGTTATAGAGGGAAAAATACGGTAATTTTCCAGTTCTAAGCTTTCCGGGGGAAACCCACATCACTGAGCCCAGAACTGTCAACTCCTGGCAGGAAGTTATCGGTGGAGGTTTTTCCTAGTCCTGCTACTTGAGAATCTTTTATTGAAGATGTCATGGATTGAATCTGTATAAAGCACCAGTTCCCAAACTTTTTCAGGCCCCCTCCTCCTTGGTTCCATAAATTCATCCCCAGCACCCCCTACCCTATAAAAAGCATTATTCAGCATAAAAGTTTGCATGACTAAGAAATTTAATAACACAATATAATTCAAAACGGTAACAATGAATTGCACATTTATTTAAAATCCAGTTAAAACTATTTAGTTTAATTAATTCCACAAAATTGGTGAACTTCATCCAATGATACCAGTTTTTCAAAGTCTGATAGTCATTTACACCTCCAGTGC